TCGAACGAATAGGTGTGTACGTGTGCTGATTTTTGTAATTATAAATTGAGAATACATGTGATTATTTTCTTTTTTATCTTGTTGCGTGTTATAAGTTATAAATAAATATAAACAAACAACATTGCGGCTGGATGGCCGAGCGGTCAAAATGACAGCCTACCGCTTTGGAGGACCCGAGTTCGAATCTGAACGGGTCGAGAAATCCCCAGGACATTTGGGGGGTGGTCCGTTCGGATATGCCGGGCCCCTGTCCTCCATCACCCGGCATCCCCATTGTGGGTTTGGCTGAATCCATAATGGGCTTGCAAAAAGAGGCCGTCTTAGTGCCCACTGGGCAGAAGGAGTTAAAAAAAAAACCTGCTAACATTAAATCTGAATACCAAAATGATTAATTTACTGTGTTTTTGTTATTTCTTACTCCTGATTTTAGGTATTCGGCCGAATACCGAATAGTAACCGAATATTCGTTACATCACTATTCATTATATTTTTACTTTTCACGCTTCTCTATTCACTTTTCACTTTCTACTTTTTTCTGTTATTCGTACACTTTTACTTATGAAAAATCAATTGAAGCATGTGTGTCACACGTCTCCAAATGCCATTCCCATTAGTCACACATAACGGTCTTCGACTATTCCAAAACATTTTCGACTATTACAATATATTTAATATATTTAATATTTAATATTTAATCATACGACCCTATGGCCATTGGCCTTTTTCAAGGGTCAAAAGAAAAATTAATGATACAGACTTTTACCAAGTATACAATCAACAAAACAACAAAAAAGAACAGAAAAGAAAAATACAATAACATCAAAACAAAAAAATACACTCAACTAATCACATATCAATATTTTCACAGCCCGTTTAAATTGTCCGTAAGTACACAATTCTTTATATTCTTCTTTTAAGGCATTCCAACTATATATAAGTTGATAAATTGGTGCATCTCTTCCAAAACTATGCTTAACCTTTGGTAAAAGCAAGTTATTTCTCCATCGGTAGTTGTAATTAGAAGGCCTAAAATATTTATTTAATTCTTCGCTTATATAAGATTTTTTCTTGCTCACCTTTATTAGTTTAAAACCTTCCAAAAGAACTTGTTTTTTATATAAAGTTTTTATTTTATCAATTTTGATCTGGTTATAAAAAGAAGTGACAGAGGAATCATAAGGCAACTTATATAATGCTCTTATAAAGTTATTTTGTATAACTTGCAATCTATTCAATACAAAAGAAGAAGCTGTACCCCATACAGAAATACCATATCGAAGTTTAGGTTCCATGCAAGCGTGATACAAGCGCAAAACAGTCTCACAATTTAAAAAACTCATTATTCTTTTCAGTATTCCAATATATCTAGATAAAGACAGTGTTAAATTATTTATATGATTGTTCCATCGTAACTTATCATCAATTTCGATTCCTAAATATTTTACAGTATTAACTCTTTGAATACGTTCATTATTTATTCTTACTTGTATATCTTCTAAATTCACTTTTTTGTTTTTATTTGATAAACAAATATAATTTGTTTTATTTTCATTTACTCTTAAGTTATTATTTTCCATGTACTTACTTAATTTAGATAAGAAAGAGTTTATATTATTTTCAACCAAATGAAGACATTAAAAAACATACAAAACATTAAAGATTAAAAATAAGATTACATTGTTGCCAATCTTACCAGTTTTAACAGAATGCAAGAATTAGATTCCCCGTTTCCAGACTAATTAATTAAAGAATTTTTACATCGTCTAAAAATATGTTCGATTTCCCGCAAAATAGCAAAAATCCGCATCTGCGCCTGTAAATCTTGCACGCCGCTTTCTCTTAACACTTCCATTGTTACTCAACACTTCCATTCTTAACAATTTCATTATTGACACTTCTATTATTGTGAGATCCGAAAGGCCCCTGGGCCTCATTTATGAATTTTTATTAATATGTTTAAATTATCGACAAAATATTATTTCATTTTGTGTGAAAAAACTAGTGTTTTAGACGTGGGAAAAATTGATGACAAATGTTATTTCCTTTCATCGAGGAGAACATCCGCTGTTTTTCCCTTATCCGTTAAAAATCTCGCTCAGATGGGAAATGGTTACCCCTCATTCATCCCCCTCTCATCCGTTCTCACGAAAGAGTTACTATACGATGATTGGACGAAGTTTTGAAATAAAAGGAGAAATTAGTCATAATTCGAGGAGTCCTCCGACCGATTTGAAAGTGTCCAGACTCCACATACGTTTCCTCCTGATGGTCAACGCCCATAACGGAGCCCGATAGACAAAGTCCCGAGTCTACACTTAGAAGAAGTGATATCTTTATATTTTTGTGCAAGAATTAATCTCCCATACGAAAGGAAGATGAACCCTATCTACAAGGTGTCCTATATCAACAGAAACGAAGACGACAACTAACAGGTCGTATGTTTAGAATCATTTTGTGAGCTCTCTCTCGATCGCGCATTAGCATAGATTTAGTCGTAACCTTTAACTTGTCATATAATCGTTGTTATTGATTTTCTGTATTCGTTGTTTGGATTTATTAAATTTTACTTATGTTTATTATATAAGAATGTCTCCTCAATTCATTCCGAATCAGATCGCATACGCGTGTTTGTCCGCGCCTCTATAAATTGACAAACTGGTGTCGGGAACCTGACGAAGGAAGAAGGTGAATTCGTCTTCACCAACTTCCGCTCTAAATTATAATATAACCGTAAAGCCCTCCACACTCGTTCCCTACGACGGGGAAAGGCCGTTCTTGGACGACTGAGAGCTGGTCTTACCGACTAGTGCCTGTAAGTGTTACTCGAGTACTACTTACCAAGTAACCTTGGCTACTTTCACATTATTGACACTTCCATTACTGACAGTTCTATTGTTAACACTTCCATTACTGACACTTCTATTGTTGACACTTCTACTGTTACGCATTTTCGAAGTCAACCAATTTCAACTTCTATATCTCCCACACCCTTACAGCTATCGAGACGCAACCATCATAGTGTACGATGGGAGACTCGGGGCTACTACCACACACAAACGCCATTCATGTGCGATGTGTAGTTTTGGTGCAGAGTGAAATATAGGGACAAACACGTCCATTTTTATATATATAATAGATATAGCTATAGATATAGGTATAGGTATAGGTATAGGTGTAGGAATATATATAGATATAGATTACATTTTTAAAAATTTTCTAATGCTGGTCGGCGGGATACTCCGTAATTCCCAGACTCTCATAAAGCCGTTCCATTTCTATATTTGGCTTAGCTATAGCCTCAAGTTTTATATTTTATGGACTTTTTATAATGATGTTTTCTACTTATTTATGGAAGGAAATGAAAAAGTAAATTAACGATTTACATAGAATATATTTGGTTAAATTGAGCTTGTTAAATGATAGGAAGTGCGAAAGTAAACGTATCACCTTCTTTACACTCAGGATATTAAAATATAGCTACGAACTAAACGATGAACTTACATACATGTCAATACTTAAGAAACTGTCTTCTGCAGATCTGCAGGGTGCACAAGCAAGTTCCTAAAATTGGTTTTATTTTATTATCTGGCAAATATTTTAAAACATTATTAAAACTAATTTAAACTTTAAAGTTGTATATTTTATCTTAAAATGTTTTATTTTAATAACTTCTTAAAAAGTAAAGAAATTAGCTGTTTCTATTAAATTTTATGATTTTTTGCTTGTTATTTTAACAAAACTTTTGAAATTAACGCAAACGGAAACCGTCAAAAAATTCACTGATACGGGAGTTATTAAGCTACAAATTGAACGAACAAATTACCCTCCCCCACATACACTCTAACGGCCATACAAAAAATCCTCGGTTTCTCGACGTTTCCAGGTTCCCCGAGTCCAAAAATGTAAAAATTTTCGGGGTAAAGATCATTTTTCGACCGATGTTATATATAACAGCCGGGAAAGCAATAACCAATAACCAATAAATCGAATGGTGACTATTATTGTAGTTAATGAGCGAAAATTAAAATAGGGGTCTGCCAAAATATATAATTCATAATAGGGATTCCGATATTGTTTATCGTACACGGGTTCTACGTTGCTACAGGAATAACTTGTAGCTGAAAACCGAAATAAAAACGATAGTGTATATAAGCGTTACCCAATCGGTGTGCCGCGATACACCAGAGTACGACTAGAATACCTGGAGCGTGTGGAAAAATATTAAATATTTTTTTAGAGTTTCGAATAACCTGTTTAAAATTTCATTTATCTTTCTTCTTGTTATTCTCGGCCGATCGAAAGGTGAAGGAGTTAATTAACCTTTTTGCCCCTCGAAGTTATCTTCCTCCAGGCGTGAGAATTTCTACGAAACAAAAGTCACGCGATGTATATATCCAGTTTATCGCAGACACAACAGAATCGTTATAAGTCTCGTCACATTCGTGATTAAAACAAAATACTTAATCAAATTTTAAAATTTTATATTATAAATCGCGCAAACCATTTTATTATTTATTATTATTTTTCTAGTTTTAAAATAAATTTTATTATTATTTTTCTAGTTTTAAAATAAATTATATTTATAACAAATCCGAACGAAAAAGCGTATTACAAACGATTTTCCAATTGTTAATCGTTGAAATAAACATATAATTTATATTAAATTACGGTTTAAAATTGAAGTAATTAGCGAGGTTGTCGAACGTCGAGCGTCGCTATCTTGTAAGCAGCGCTCGCCGTTCCACGTTCACGTTTTAGAAATGAAAACTTCGGCCGCAACCTCGCTATTAAATAGAAAATAAGATATTTGAAAAGGGATGGAAAATTTTCCAAAGCCGTATTAAAAGACAGAAAAAGTTGTTTAATTAATCCGAAAATAAAAAGTCTGCGAAAGGTAAAAAAATTGTAAAAATGCTACGTCTTGGCGACATCACATCTACGCACTATTTTCAAAGTTTTGTGAATTAGTTGCTGTCCTTGGTTCTTTTCGTAGAACGAGGAAAGTCCATTCTTTATAGAGTAAACGATTTTGTAATCTTTCGGTGTTCTATTTTTGAATGGAGCTAAGCAAAACTTTGCCATTTCTTTCTGGACAGTATAAAAGATAACACTCGGTATCAAAACTTTTGACAGATACTGTACGTTATGAAGTTCTCCGTAAGTAGGCATATTATAAGTTTCTAAATATATTTAAAACACTGTGTTGTTCGTGTAATATATTTTTATAAATTATTTATAAGATATAATGTTAGTTTTCATACCGTTGTAAACATTCGTTTTAGTTTGTTGAATAGAATATTTAATTAAATATCGAGCTACATTATTAGACAAAGTTGTATCCATACCCAATTGTTCCAATTTTATATGATGACGTTTGAAATAATATAAGTTGATCTTGGAATTTTTTTCCTCCTTAAAAGACGGATGCAAATTTTTATATGTATGGGCCTATATATACATTTTTTTGACTCGGGGAACTTCAAGAAATAGAAAAATTCGTTTTTTTCCCTTGTGTTAATAGGTATGTGCGTGTGTGGGGCACGATTCTGTCACCCAGTTTGAAGCTTAATAACTCCTGCGCTTTTTGACGAAAATTTCTGAAATTTTTCAGATAGATTTGCCTGTTAAGGGGGATTGATGCTTTTAAGTTTTGATGGTTAAAGGTGGAAGGCGTGGGGAAAGAGGGGGAGTTATATATCATATCTAGAGTAAGGTGGATTTAATCAAAATTTTACTCGTTAGACTAGTTAGACTTTTATAATTTTTTATAAAGCTCTTCTCTCTCCTGAAAATTAATCCTTTTGTCGTTTTATAATAATTAATAATATAAAAACGTTTTAAAAATAAAATCTCGTAATAGATGGAACCACACTTACTGCCATCAGTTTAAGGTCTATAAACACACGATACCGTGATGTATCCAGTTAGTCATCGTATTGTGACTTTGGACGTACGGTGCTTTTAGACAGATTTTGGCTATTTTTTTCCGATCTCAATTTGTCGAATTTCTTATCATTTATTTTTTTCAATGGTTTGGTAATCCGAAACGAATTGTAAAAATTCTTCAGCCAAAAGTGTAGGATGGTTCCTTTATTCTGCTGACAGTTTCGGAAGAGTCATGATTTTAGTATTTTATATGTCATAGTAACCTACTGCACGTACTGTACAAAGCAAGACCTTCGAACTAAGACCCAATATGGCGGCTCCGTAAGGAATATTTGTGTCTTGACTTTGTATAAACTTTGCATCTGTTACGAGACTTAACTGTAATTCTAACTTTTTTGCCCGAAATCTATGCAACTCGTTACTGCTTATTTTTAAGAAAATCACTAAAGTCTAATCAATAGCTTAGTCGTTAAAAAAATGACTAAACTGTCGATTGGACGATTGGAATTCGTTAAAAAATTAGTTCAAATTTTGTGTCCCGAACATTCGTACCTTATTTTGTAAACGATTCTTAATTAAAATCATAAGTAATTTGAGAGGCAATTCGGAAGATATTTTTCAAGTGTAAATTTAATGATAATAATACTTAATAATTACTCGTATTAAAGAAGTGATGATTTTTACGACAGCAATTGAAATACCATTAAATTAAAAATTAGTCTAAAGCAGTGTTTTTCAACCTTCTTGAATACGCGACCCCTTTACAAGTTAAAAAATTCTGGCGACCCCTCACGGCCATATTAAAACTATGTCAGTGATTTTAAAAATTACTGTACGTATTTAATTTTCTTTTTGTTTAGATTTAAATATCGATCAAAAAACCAATTGTATTGTAAAATAAACAGGCACTCATTGAAATTGTAGTTTTTTTATTGCAGTGTAGGACCTACAAACACTTGGCTTTTTTTTTTTACCCGCGACCCCCGTATATAGCTTTGCGACCCTCTGAGGGTCGCGACCCACAGGTTGAAAAACACTGGTCTAAAGAAACTCTTTTTAAGTATTTAAGAAAAAGCAAGAAATTATTTATTTTTGAATTCTGCAGATTTTAATTTTAGCAATAATCGTCGTCTCCGTTCTGGCCGACAGAAGGGACAAGGAAAAACGAGGGGGAAGAAGAGGAATTCCACAGGGAAGAAGCGATTCCAAGGAAATTGAAACCGAAAGAAGGGGCTCCGGTATACCCATTGGAGGTAGACACGACACCGGAAGAAGAGAATTTGGAGAAATCAGAAGCGGAAATGCCGGAAGATTAGGAAAGGGAAGAGGCAACAAAGACAAAGTCGAAGATGGAATTAGTAAAGCGGGAGGAGATGACGTCGAAGTGCGACCCGAAACTAAACGCTTCGGAAGTGGATTCACGGGATAAATTGTTAGAAGTTAAGTTTAAAAGCTTCGTTTATATTTCGGCATTTTATTAAATGTTATAATTTCATCAGAAATAAAACTTGTTTAACGTTCAAATAGGTCTATTAAATTATTTTTATTTTTATTGCATTAATACAACTTACAAAATTTATATTATACTCGAAAATATTTAACATTGTGCTAATTCAATAATTCTAAAATTAAGCGATTAAACTGGTATTATTTATTATATTTGTCACTCGATGGTAAGTAAAATGTTCGGGCCGAGGGGGAGACATTTAAAAAAAGTGATTAACGATAATATGCAATATATATCGTCATCGTCTCCCTTGCCGTTTGGACATCCGAGCGGTAACAATCAACGACGTGTGGAAGCAGTTGAGTCAGAGATAGATGCCTCGTTTACAACAACAAAACCCGTTTATTATACACGAAAGATGCTTACAAGATTTCCGCGATCGTAGAAGTTCTACGTCGGCAGCGGCTCTAGGTCTTCCTCTCTTTTCCAAGATAGTCTCATTTTGAAGGAGTGTCCTTTGTTCGCGAATGAACAATTCCACCGACGTCTCGACGACTCCGGGACGATGCGATCGACTTCCGTTGATGGAAAGATGTCGATTCGAGGTCGGCAGATGGAGAGACGAAGATGGGCGCGAGACACACACACAACAATATATCCATCACTCGGAACTTTCGGGAGAAGAAGCCGTCGCATTCTTGAATGTCCGGAGTTTTATCCGTTTTCCTCCAATTCCACTTACCGATTGGTCTCTCCTTGTCACCCGATGACAATTCGAAACCCTTCGGGGCGCGGGAGAGGTCAAAATCGAAGTTCAATTCGATCTCCGACCGGAGATGGTCGACGAACTTACATTCTTCTATTGTTTATAAGTTAGCGTCGCGTTTTCATATATGAAAATCTATTTCTAACTACTATATTTAAACATATATATTTTAACGCGAATTTTAGTGAGGGTTCGGACCTGTCCAGAGCCTCACAAACATAAACGATAAGTTATGGAAGTGATTGAACGAAATCTTTAAAACCAGAATAATTGTTTTTGGTTCTTAAAACAATACGATTTACTTTTACAGCTTGTTAACGTGGTTAATAAACTTTGCCAAAATTTATATTTGAAGATGTAATCAAAGAAAACCGAGCTCTGCACGTGCACAAGCTATGCGTTATCTCGGATGTCTTACCAGAGAAGTAAACTTTGAAAGTTGAAGAGCTGCAATCATTGCGGCAAAAAGAAAAAACAGAAATAACACGATCAGTACAATACGTAGATAATTGTCCACTTCGAAGAAAAGCAAGGCAGAAGCCAGAAAATTTATTATATAAATGCCAGAACCGTACGCTACGGAACAATATAACACCGAAACTCGATTTATTTCTTGCAGATAGCTCCAACAATCTCAATGAGCAATTAGCAGATTTTCTACTTTGTCCTTCAAATTATTCTCAGCGTGATGAAGTTGATCAATGCACTGGGATAAATATTTGAATCTTCTCGAAAGCAACAGACTCATTGCAGTAAAAATTAACACCAAAAATTTAACTGTCTGATCCTATATATAATAACTAAGACAAGATTTACATTTCAGATGCCCAATTATAGTCCCGAACCATGTATTTTCGTTAGAATGGAATACGATAAATCGATTAATAAGACAGTCATGATAATGTCACTAAACATATATGATAACATACCTAAGGCTAACTTTTGCAGAAGCGGTGTTATTTTTTCTTCTTCTTTGTATCCACTTGTATTTTTAGGAAAATTGAATCTTTTCTTTCTAACTAAGCTGAACTGCAATGCTATGAAAGAACAAAACATTATAGCGAGTGGTTTGAAAACTTCTTTGTTTTCGGAAATAATATTGTCAAATCCTCTGCACACAACTTTATCTGATAGTCCTTGAACAGAAAGTATTATATTTGTTCAGATAAATAATTCGATAACCGTATAATAAAAAAAAAAAATAGTTTCGTTGCATATTTTTCAGTTTCTGTTCTCTGGCAATCGCAGTACATTACACTAAATCCGAATACTTTTGTCGCATTCAGAATTGGTCGAAGTAAATACACAAGACAGGAAGTATTTTTTGTATCTGATGAATTTATCTTTTGAACTGTCAAATAGATTAAAAATTTTAATTCGGAGGAAGTAGAAATTCGTAAATTTTTGTTTTTGTAATTAAATTTTCCTCTTTTCTAAACACAATGATTAGATATGAATCGAAGTATTCCTTCTTGAACCTGACTGTTAATTTTATACTATTTATAGAATATTGTTTCGTAACTACATCATGTGATTAATATTCGATCGTGTGTCGTAACATCCTTTGTTAATCCTAACAACAGAATCGATATTTAATGCTGTTACATTTAATTACAAATTATATCTATATATAAAAAATTGCTTGTGCTGACTGACTGAATGACTCACTCACTGATTCATCATCGCCCAGAGCAAACCGCCGAACCTAAAGAGGTGAAATTTGGTACACAGTTAGGGTATGCCATGGCAATGCACACTAAGAAGGGATTTTTCGAAATTCCCCCGCGGGCGGGAGACGGAGAGGGTTTAGTCTTCATCGAGTACTTAGGTGTGTTAAATTAATAACATTTCAGACATTGTTATAAATATTTTTATCTATTTCGATTATTAAAATGTTCGAACCGTTTTAAATTCGAATTTGTTATTGCATATCGGTTCGATTATAGAACGATTGTAAACGTTTCAGAAAATTGATCAAATTGAAAATAGTTCGTTTGATTCTCGGCAATTCTCATCATTCTCGGCGGTAGGTGTTATATAACAATTATAGTTGTTGAAATACTGAATATAAATGGGGTTTGCTTGCAAAATCCTCGCGGGCGGAGTCGCGAATAACAGCTAGTTTATTTATACAATTAATGATAGTCCACTGACACTCCAGGACAGTCCACAAATTCACATGGACGGAGGCGACGTTTCTTTTGAGGCTACTGCCTCCGCAATAAAATGCAAATATAGTGAAAACGTCCTTTAGTGCGGATCGATATTTTTTCTTGATTGAGTTCTGTTCTTGTTTGGCTTGTATATATTTATTTCAATACAACAAGTGATATTACAAACGAATAATATTTATATCGACTTTCCATAAATGTATAAACCCTTTAGCTTAAAATCATTACGACTTTTTTTTAATTAAACATTACGACTTTTCTTTTGAAATGAATCAACGAAAAATATGAAAGGAACTATACTTCTACAATTGTAAATGCCTTTTATGTAACAAAAAGAATAACTTTCTGCTTAAAGAAAAAAATAGAAAACTTTGGGATTGTAAATTTCTCTGCAAGAATAGTCAATTTAATAATTATAAAGCATCGCCTGTTTTTCATGAAGAGCAATATCAGATGTTTTGTAATTACAGTATCGAACTTACTAATTGCAGGAAAGAAAAAATGTTTTGAAACAAATAATGCTTAATGCATTATTTAATTGGTAAGTTTCAATGGGAAAATGTTTAAACAAGTTTTCCTATTGATCAAAGTCAATTTACAAAGATTACGAAGTATTTTGATACGTGAGCATATATTTTCTTATTGTGAATAACAAAAGATATTTATTAAAAATTAATTGTGAAATTACAGAACCACGACCGTCCTTCACACTTAAGTTGCCGAGACACAGGCAAAATCATAGCAATGCCAACTATTCCCACTCATAGCCGGATATAGGTTTTCCGAGGCATAAGACTTATTGAAATCCAATGGGACCCCATTTTTTGTTAGATTAAGAATCTTTAAATTGGGGTTTAAAATATTTTACTATAGGATAAGTGCTCATTGTTAATGAAAAACTATTAGAAATTTATGATGATAATTCAATTTTTGTGTAACATCGACGCTTGGGGCCAGGGCTTAAGCCCTATTATTCTCTATGTAGATCCGTGTATTTATTCCGAAACCAAAATAATTTCGAGCCTAACTTCTACTCTAACATTCTGTAGTTATGTTAAAATTATTTTTGAAGATTTACGTGGTAATTAAAAAGAATTTATTTTTCAGTTCCCTCGCACTACTAGTTGACACAGTCTACAACAAATTCACTACAAGTTGACATTCTACTGGGCTAATAATTGACATTTAACCATCGACATCAATTAATGTAGAAAACCGATATTTAATTCCAGTTGCAATGATTTTTGAATTGAAAGAACTTCTTGGGTGATTCTTGAAATTGTAACAAAAAACTTTAAGATTAAATCATTAAATAAATAAATTACTGCAGTTCCATGTTTCAATCCAGAAATAATGCATAAATAAATTTTATTGCGTAAATAATAAAATTTTATTAGTCGAACATAGAAGAGGCGTGTCTGTGGATCCAATAATATTAAATGCCACCTGTCGAATCGATTTGTCTCGCATATCGTTAAAGGCGACACTCAGACCAGGTTTTAAACAATTTTGATTAAAGACAATTATTAGTAAAATAGCGTTATTAAAAATTCTTATTAAGATTTCTGTCTGTCATTGTTATATTTTATGTATTGTTTTCTTACGGCAAATATTTCTTAAAAATTTCTTAAAAATGCATAACGAAATGGCAGGGACCATTTCATTACGCATCACCAAAATTTTTAAAAAATATGAGTTTATTTTTCTCTTAAGCCGCAAATAACCTTGCATAGGCTATGCCGCAACGACAAAGATGTATTTTCCACACTAGAAATATCGGGAGTATATTTGGTTCCACAGCCGAATAGCGATGCCGATATTTTTATATCGTGGCCATGATACCGAACACCAGAAGGATATCCGTAAGAACAAGTGCATTAAGGAACTTTCTAGGAGTATGGTGAAGAGAAATCGTGTGCCGAAATCGGATGAGACTTCGCAGCTAATGCAACGTGTTGGCAAAAAGTTACTTTTATCTGGGAGGCATTATTTATTGAAAGATAGGAATCCTGTTATAAATCTAATTGGGTCTCCCAAAAAGCTTGGGTATTACTTTTTAAAAGTCCGGACGTTTAACATTTATGTCGCCATTTGCAGTAATTCTAAATTTACTAACGGCATGTAAATGTTTATAATTTATTTCTACGCTTATGCCGTTCTCGTGCCTATGTTAGTTTAAATCTAACTTAGAAAATTTGTATTCCATTTCCGAATATTTAAAGTTCTATTGGTTTTTTAGATTTATCATAATGTTCGAAAGTTACGTTCTTCGCCTAAAGATGTTTTATTTCTTGTTTTAATAGACGTTTTACATTTAAGTAATGCAAATCGTATCACTCGGGAAAAGAAATATTATTTGTATTTTTATTTAAGGTTCTGTTATTATAAGAAATATATTTTATAATTTTTTACAAGGTAATCATTTCCTCTGTAACTGTTATTGACATTAAATGCGGAATTCTCGTTTTTTTCTTAAGTCTCGTTTCTTCCTTTTTTCTACACTAAAAAGGAAATAATTTATGAAAATACTTAAAAAACGTCTCTTTACGTGTTGAAGAAACCCAAAGAAAATTAATTCGTGGGTGAAAATACAAGCATAATTAAAGCGTATAACTGTTAATATTAAATTAGTGTAATACGTTATATTTTTAAATTAAACTTTTATAACCATAACTTATTGTCTCATTGTGGCAAGAAGCGAGTCCTCGACGAAATTTAAAGTGATTGCGCACAAATATCCGTTGTCTAGGTAACCTAGGTGGGATTGAAACTGTGTCCCAACCAGTGAAAAATCATACCCGATATCGGGTGTTAGAAAGTTACAGCTAAACTTGTATTTTTTACCCTACTTAAGAGTAGAATTTATACTTATAAATAGAGTTTAGTAATAAAGAATACAAACTTATATTTATTTCTTGTGAATTAAATTTAATATAGTTATAATTTCAAATCGCACAAATATTATACTTGGTGTCCCTAAAGTCTGGACACAGGCAAAAACACGCATTTTCAAAATATAAATTTATTAAGAATATTTTATTCAATTGGAATATTAAATAACGTCTTCGAGAGGATTTCCGTCATTTGAAATGCAATGCTTGATGCGCTTTGCAAAATTCACAGAAACTCGATCTAAATCCACATTGCAGTCAATTTTAGCATATTCACTCTTTATGCGTTCAATCAGGTATGTTACATCTGCGATTTTTATCTTATCCTTTATCATTTCCCAGAAAAAGAAGTCAAAAGGGCAAGGTGAGGTGGGCGTTACCTATGTGTCTAGACTTTAGGAACACCCTATATAATTAATACCTTTCAATTAATAAAATATAGCGAAGTAGATTTTAACATCATACTTTTATTTATGAAAATGATAATTGTTAACAGGTCTATTAGTATTTAGCGCAATAACATTTTGATTTTTTGCACAGACCCATTGTGTTAGACGTTTCTTTGCAATAATTACTGCATCCACCCGGAGTTTTGCACTTGCCAGGTACGCCATTAGATGCAAATCCCACATCGACTAAGAAAAATATGAAATCTTATGAATAAATGTTTAAAAATAATTAAATGCGAATGGGAAAATCAACACTTACTCATCGCTTGAATAAAGATTCCCACAAGAAGAAGAGTGAATATAACCTTCATTTTCCTCTTTCTTCCGCTTTGCTCGCTATCTAACAAGAAAACAATACATAAAATGTAACAATGACAGATAGAAATCTTAATAAGAATTTTCAATAACGCTATTTTACGAATAATTGTCTTTAATCAAAATTGTTTTAAACCTGATCCGAGTATCGCCTTTAACGATATGCGAGACAAATCGGTTCGACAGGTGGCATTTAATATTATTGGATCCACAGACACGCCTCTTCTATGTTCGACTAATAAAATTTTATTATTTACGCAATAAAATTTATTTATGCATTATTTCTGGATTGAAACGTTAAACTGCAGTAATTTATCTATTTAATAATTTAGTCAAGTTTTTTATTACAATTTCAAGAATCACCCAAGAAGTTCTTTCAATTCAAAAATCATTGCAACTGGATATAGAATTAAATATCGGTTTTCGACATTAATTGATGTCGATGGTTAAATGTCAACTATTAGCCCAGTAGAATGTCAACTTGTAGTGAATTTGTTGTAGGCTGTGTCAACTAGTAGTGCGAGGGAACTGAAAAATAATTTCTTTATAATTACCACGTAAATCTTCAAAAATAATTTCATCTTAACTACAGAATGTTAGAGTAGAAATTAGGCTCGAAATTATGTTTTTTCGGAATAAATACTTACGTTATTGGCAAAAGTAGAATATAATTTTCTCGATGTGTCAATTATCATTGTCTTTAATTCCTCACACCCGGTAAAAACAGATACCGTATTGCGGATATAACGTGAAATATTCCATTCTTTTTAAATGTAAAATTATGCTAAAGTACGCGTTATACTAATCGTAAATATTGTTATTATTTTATTAACGTTTTCTTCTTAGATATATTTAATTTCGAGTGTTTTTCAGATGGATTACGAATTACAAAATTTGTATCTCTTGTCTTATCAGGCACGTGATGCAGTCGTGTAAATACATTTATTAAGCACTAGTATAAGGGAATTCAAATAAAGTTTTAAAACATTCGATAATTGAACACGCGCCAGTGCCAATATTGAAAATAAAACAAACATAAGTCTGATTCAAAACTGATTTTTACTATCTTTCGGTTAAGTTTCTAAAAAGAAATATTTCGATTGCCGTATTTTAGTGGGAAATGAAATGAGATCAGTGAAACAATAATAGGCTTAAGCCCTGGGCCCCAAGAGTGGAGGGCCCACAAAAATTGAATTATCATCATAAATTTCTAATACTTTTTGATTAACAATGAGCACTTATCGTATAGTAAAAAATAGTTAATATTAATTATACAGTATAATAATAATGTTATATAAATGACTTTTAAACCCAATTTAAAGATTCTTAATGTAAAAAAAAGTGGGGCCCCATTGGACTTCAATAAGTCCTATGCCTCGAAAAACATAGATCTGTCCATGAGTGGGAATAGTTGGCATTGCTACGATTTTTGCTAGTATATCGACTATCTTTGCCTGTATACAAGATTAAAAGCTAACAGCTAACAGTGCAGCCGAAGGTCTTCCCGTGTCGTACTCAAAGGTATCACTGTCTTTTACTATGTGGTAACTATGTCTAGCGGTCTCTGTGGCATCAATTAAGGTAAGGCTCATAAATTGTCGGGATCAATATGTTGTATACTGTTCTTTTCATTTTGTAAGGGCTTACTTAACTCCGAGTGTATTAAGTTGTCGATATATAGCTGACAGTTGACAGTTGTGATAGCCTCGCCTTTCATCATAGCCCGGAATACAAAAGGAGGGAAGGGAGGGGGGGAGGGGAGGGGGAGGGGAGGAGAAGGGAGAGGAAGAAACGAAGGAAGGAAGGAGAAAAAGAAGGAAGAAGAGTGGTTGGGGGATCACATGGGTCAAGATGTGACCATTAATTTAACACAAACGACATACATAATCAGTGCTGCTAAGCTGCTAGCTAGCAATACAACAAATGGCTATATAAAAAGTAATCAGGAATACAAGACAATTTACAGTGCTGTACTAATGGCTTAAGTGTAAAGGACGGTCCTGGTTCTGTAATTTCACAATTAATGTTCAATAAATATATTTTATTATTCACAATAAGAAAGTATATACTTACATATCAAAATACTTCGGACGGTCCTGGTTCTGTAATTTCACAATTAATGTTCAATAAATATATTTTATTATTCACAATAAGAAAGTATATACTTACATATCAAAATACTTCGTAATCTTTGTAAATTGACTTCGATCAATATGAAAAATTGCTTAAACATTTTTTCATTGAAACTTAACAATTAAACAATGCATTAAGCATTATTTGTTTCAAAGCGTTTTTCTTTTTTGCAATTAATAAGTTTGATAATTGTAAAACATTTGATATTTCTCTTAATTGCAAACAGGAAATGCTTTATAATTATTAAATTGACTGTTTTTAAAGTGGAATTTACAATGAGGGATACAGAAAAATTCTTGAATTTTTATAGGCTAAAACTTATATTATACGTAGGGCTAAAATGGCATTTGATTGTTTGCAGCTTATTATTTTAAGAGTTGAAATTAGTTCTGTTGATAGTAGGATTTTTGGGTCAGAGTGTTGAAATTAGATGATAAGAGTTATGTTAAAGTGGTTTATAACAAACTGTATAAATCGTGCAGTGTGTAGCGTCTTTGTAATCCAAAAAGATAATTGGTAGACGAACGAACAGCAATTGGTTAGAAAACGTTGTAAACGTGTATAAATCATATTCAACGATGGATAATAGTGTTGTAACGAATAGTATATTCGGCCTCAGGACGAATACCGAATATTCGGCCAAGAGCGTGGCCGGATAGCCGAATATTCGGCCAAACTATTCGGCTCGATTAACGCACGTACGAAAATTGGCGCGCAAACCGCATTATGGCAAGGACCCCGCTCTCTATTGGCCCGCTGTCACTACGCTTCGCCAATCGCGTTAATTCTTGGCGGTTGTAGCGGACAGACAAGAGTGTCATGGAAGTATGCGATAAATGATGATATCAAATGTGGATAACAATGAAATGACGTACACGTGTAAATAACGGAAAAAGAACAGAGAAGGACCGCGAAGTGAAAATGTGAAAATAAATATGAAATTGAGTTGATAACGTAATCGAACAAGTCGAGGCAGCTTATTGGCGCGAAATTCGCGTCCGTCAATGACAAACAATTATTGTCATAGACTTCGGAAAGCTAAATGCTTGTAATGAAAGTCACTTAGCGTGCACGGGCGAAAGCCTGGGACCGTTCGGGCTACCAAGCTGTCTCGAATCTGTGAAATCATAACTGTGACTTATATCGACGTCCTATCTGTCTCTTTTTTTTTGTTATCACCAGGCTATGAGTCACGTAATTGTAAAATGGGAACTCTACGACGGAAAAGTGACGAATCGAAAGTATCGTAAGCGCGTATTATGATGTATGCACAGGCATACATGGATTAGAGCGATAGAGGAAAGAGAAAGGGAAGAGCAAAGACGAGCGCTTAAAAACAGGAATAGACAGGGTCAGAGCCTCAGATGTGCGACGATTCTCGAACGAATAGGTGTGTACGTGTGCTGATCTTTGTAATTATAAATTGTGAATACGTGTGACTAATATTATTTTCTTTTTTATTTTGTGCATGTTACAAGTTATAAATAAATATAAACAAACAACACTAACTCGATAACATTAAATCTAAGTACCAAAACGATTAATTTACTGTGTTTTTGTTATTTATTACTCTTGTTTTTAGGTATTCGGTATTCGGCCGAATAGGCCGAATAGTAACCGAATATTCGTTACATCGCTAATAATAATACATAAAATTGGTCGTTGGAATTGAAATTTTATTAGATTGACACGGTTTCTCTTTTTTGTGGTTGTCTTGAGATTCTCATTTGATCGAAAATCATCAAGCGTTAATTATAAGTGTGTTGTAAACAAAGCATACAAGAAGATTTGTCTTTGTTAGAAAATAACAAACGTTTTCAATTATATGGTAGTATTAAAAGAAGTTTTATGTTTGAGGATTATCTGTGTTTGTACATAAATCTATACTAATATTATAAAGAGGTAATGTTTGTATGTATGTTAGTTTGTATGCAGCAGGTAATATATTGGTGAAAGAATTTTTGAAATCGAATGAGTAGTTTCGGAAATTACCTGCGAAACTACTCATTACAGCCTAATATACAGTCTATATCCACCCTGAAGTTCCATTCTAAATATTGGTGAAAGAATTTTTGAAATTCGATTTCAAAAATTCTTTCACCAATATTTAGAACGGAACTTCAGGGTGGATATAGGCTGTATATTATTCCGTTAAACATGGGAGATGGACAGTTCTTTACGGTAAGCCTTCCTCGTAAAGAACTCTGCTTGTATTTATACTATTTTAGCTGAGGTTTTTTGCATTTTTGATTGCGTTTTAATAGAGTACGTCAACAGAATGTACACAAAAAAGGGATTTTTCGATATTCCCACCGCAGGGGAGAGGGACAGGATTAAAGCTTACTGTGAAGAACTTGGCTTCTATTATACTATTTTAGATGTGGGTTTTTGCGTTTTTGATTGCGTTTTAATAGGGTACGTCAAGAGAATGTACACTAAGAAGAAATTTTTCGAAACTTTTCCCCCATGGAGGAAGTGTTATACATTTATAATAGATACATTTTGAGCCACAAGAAGGCGTGGCGGGGTCTGCTAGTTATCATATAAAACGATTAATCCTGCAACTGAACTATGTCCAAAATTATATTTTGACGCAAAATATCAGACTAATAATAGATCCCGAGAGAATTTGCATTAGTTGTAATATTCGAGTGTATAAAACATGGGAACATGTATTTTATCATTGTGTGCGAAATTTGGAGCATGCACGAAAAAGTATTTGACGAGATATAAGTCTCTAAGATATTTATCGTGTTTATCAAAAATTTATTATTATAGTGTATTTAATTTTGTATTATCTTGTACTAAGCCTTTGTAATGACTTTAGTTTTTGTTAGACTTTAACCCCCTTGTAACGAACTAAGGTTCATACAATAAAGAATTGAATTGTATATCCAAGTACAAATTATCAAAACAATAATAATAATTCTGATATTGACAGTGTCTTTTACATAACAATTACATTGGGCTAGAATGCAACAATTAACCGCTTTATTCCTGATCAATTTTTAATCTTAATGTAATTAAACATAAAAAATACTTAAAACTGAAAAAAAGGAAGGAATGCGTTAATTTTGAAGAAAAAGCTTCGAACTTTATTTTCCATTGCCTTGCCTTTCTGCGAAATCTGACATCCATGAGTAATTGTGTTTACAGCTGGATGACCTTGAGAACAGCTGGTGTTGGATTTCCCGGGACATTCTCATAGAAGTCTCGGGAGGAGAAGGGTTTAAAGTAGGGTGAATATTAGCTGTCCTTATATTTTTAAATGTTTTTAAAAAAGTACATTTTTGTTGCGATTTCCGACCCCCCGATTTAATTAAACGTATATATAATAAAATATATTAATTAAAAAAATTAAAAAACTATTGGAGGTCGTTTTTGATATCAGAAAGTAGCTTTAAATAACTTTGCCGAAGTAAAATCTTTATGCACTACAACTTTACAACGATGAATAAAATTTGATAAAAAAATCCCATAAAAACAATTAAGTGTTAATCGTGCGTCATTAAAGGTACATTTAATTCGCGATAAAATTTTTTCGCATGGGAAAAAATTTTGAAAAAATTTGGAGACTTAAAAAACATCCGAAAAAAATTTTTTTTCAAAAGGCAGGAACATCTAGAGAAGTTCTCGGAGTATAAAGAAATGGTATGTGCGGCTCGAGTATAAGTTAGCTGGCGCTGAAGAGGCATCGCAGAACTATATCACATCGACATATAATAGAAGCAACAAAGTCTAAACACGGTTCTCTGACATCAATAATTATTTAACACTAGTTCTTTCATTCATCAATAAATAAAATTGAGGAGCTTTGTGGGAAAAAGCGTAGCCTGTTAAACTACACAAAGACGTGTTATTAACAAATTTGGATTGTGTCATCGATCCGGAAACTTTCACGGTTTATTTGCATTGTACTCCACATTAATAAAACGTTGTACAGTACAGTATATTAAAGGACTGGTGAATTAAAACGCAAATCAATGTAGAGGGGGGCAAACGGGACACTTGCTTTTCCTTTAAACAGAGTTCACAAGCTATAATCGTAAAAGTGATTGTATGTATGTATGTATCTTACATTTTCAACGCTTTGTCTGTCCTTTTGTATTCTTGCAATACCTTACACGTGAGAAAAACCTCAAAATTGTTGTTTATTATTGTATACTGGCACAATGAAGTGACCTCTTAACCAACACTTGGCAAGTTTTCCATCTTTATTTAGTTAGTATCTAACTAAATAAAGATGGAAAACTTTCCCAAGTGTTGGTTAAGAGGTCACTTCATTGTGCCAGTATACAATATATAAATAACAACGCGGTTTTGACAGCAACAATTAAATAAAAATTTATTGTTATAATGTTTTTCTCCAAACTTTGCCCCTCGGATAATTGTCTTTGAGCACTCACTACAAATCCTCCGTTTTTCTCGAAAGCTTCATAATGCGAGATGCAGTTTCTCCGTCAATTACGAGAAACATTGTTAACCATAAAAACATTATACAAGAGAAAATTAATCCGATGTTCTACTTTTAAAGTAGAGATATCACTGGGCTGATGCCGGGAGGGTCAAAAAACTCCAGGAATTTTTGAGGCATTAAAACCTGTTCTTCCCATTGTGTGCTTCTCCAAACCAACGATTAACTGGATAAAAGGGCTCTCTTACTGCCCACAGAGAGGAGGGTCAAAAAAATAAAGAACATCATAGAATAAATTAGCACATTTGCTAGTTTGAAATTTATTAATTGCATCAATAAAGTTTTGTTATTAATACTATAATTACAATAATTATCTTTGAAATCAAAGTCTTCAATCTAGCGAATTTCTTAACTTGAAAATTACACGAGGAAATGTTTATCTTAATTATTTTCCATTAATATATAATTATCGAGAAAATATTTATTTGACGATTATAAAAAAAAGAAGAGTTTATTTTAATTGAATTATATTTTCCTATTTTAACATAAAACAATATATAACTTACGTAAGATAATATTCTATAAAAATAGAATATTCAAATTTCTATACTTTTATACACCATAAAGAAATATTAACGAAGAGTATTGTTATAACAAAAATATTGAAAATTATGATGCCATTTACAGTAAATACATTTTTCAATTAGCTTTTATTAATTAATTTAAGGAAAATCCTCAAACTGAAACTTCTGTTTACAATTCACTTTTAAATTTAGTAAAATGATATTTAATATAAAAGAAAGATTTGTTAAAGTGAATTTTTATTTGAAAACTTTCGCAACAAACGACACCTTTTTACGTTTTATTAAAGAGTGTAACATTATTTAATAAAGTTTTCTATCAGGGAAAAGTTAAAATTAATAAATATTAAGGAAAGGAGTAAGAATTATATAAAAATTCATGAATTATGGATTGTTAGGCGCACTACCTCCAAATAATTCCAGCATTTCATTTTGCTTCATTTAAGGAAACAAACTTAAATAACAAAATGCAAATTCGTCATGTTTGTACGTAAATAGAATATAAAATTATATCGGTAGAAGAAATGACACGACGGTTGCAAAATTATCGGAAAAAAATGAAGTGACTAATTGTCTTCTAGAGGAAATTAAGTTTGAGGAAAAACACGTTTGCCCGGTGGCGAGAAATACGTCTGCTGGGAGGAGTACCTTCTCATTTTCATACAGAACTATCGGGACGAAATGACCGAAAGAGAACAGCTACGTTGCGAATTGCGGCATTATCTTTCCGCCTACGAATATTTGTTGGTCAATATTGGTATTTTGGTAACGCTGTACGTGACGTACATCTTCTGTAAATTAATATTTCTGCATTTTCTTCCACGATCCGTCCCTAGCATTCGAAGGAAATACGGAGAGTGGGCCTTAATCACCGGCGGAAATTCTGGTATAGGACGCAGTTACGCCTTTCTCTTGGCAGAAAAAGGCACCGACGTCATCATTACGGGCAGAGACGGGGAATCTCTTCGTAAGACGGCGGAAGAAATCGAAAGTAAGTACGGAGTCCGTTGTCGCTACGTTTCTGCTAATTTTACAGAAGAAGGCGAATTTCGTAAAGTGGCTTTCGAACTGAAAGATAAAGACGTGGGAATTTTAGTACATAATGCCGGAACTCTAGGCAATTTACCCCGTTTATTTTTAGAAGAAACGGAAGAAAACGTGCTTACAATGATCAATATATACTTAACGATGGCCGTGCGTGCGACGTATCTGGTATTGCCTTCCATGCTGTCTAAGAGGAAAGGAGCGATAATTTTCTTGACGTCGTTTTCTTCCTTAGTTCCCACGCCGGGAATGAATACTTATTCGGCCTGTAAAGGATTTTGGGATCAATTGGCCAGAAGCATTTCCGTAGAATATTCGTCGCTGGGGTTGCATATTCAATCGCTTTCTCCGTTTTACGTAAAGTCCGTATCGAAGAGCATTCGTGTGGGAAACATCGATGGCGTGATTCTAACTGCGGACGACTTTGCTAGAAAAGCCATTGGAACTTTAGGAATATCCGACTATACCTCGGGTTATTTCTTACACGACATTTTCAAGTGTGTGCTTCTGCTTTGCGGCGATTCCGTATGGAAATGGTTTATGCTAAATCAAGTGACCAAGAAACGAAAGAGAGATTTGCGGAACTCAAACGAGTGGAAAGAACTTAAAGTCGAGTAGCATTCTCACGTAAACACGTTTAGCTAAAAGTATTCGATGAAATATTCTGGTAATTTGTCGAAATAGTTCACGCTTACGAAGTTATTGTTCCATACATTTTTAAAAGTGCATAAATATCGTAGCGATTTATTTCGGATTTTTTTCTTTTCGAATCCACTGCGCATTTTAGAACTTTGTTTACTTAAAAGTGAAATATATTTTTATCCTAATAACGCATAAAAAACATTAAATGTATATTTACTTCTTTATTTTCTATCTTTAAAATATATTTACTTCCAACGAATAAAAACATGTAAAGTTTAATAAATTATTTGCTGCATGTAAATTCTTATCAATGGAAATTATAAATTATATTGAAAAGTGATTCGAGTTTGCATTCGTGTTATTTTTATTTAAACATTTTCAGAGTAAGAAAGTTCATTTTGGAATCCAAAGTCCTGCTTCATCGAAAAGAAATTATAAAATAAATTTAATCTTAATGATTAAAAATCAACTTTTAAGTCTTAATATTTAAAAGACCTCCTGGAAGGCATTTCCACCGGCTCTTCGCGAGTAATTTCTCATGGTCGAGCAAAAAATCTTCGGCCGGCACTTGGGAGGATTAGCGATTACGCAACAATCATCATATTAAACTCAATACGAGATAGATAGATAGAGAACAAGAAGAACTATTTTTCGATATGCTATACGTGCTAATTTATTGTAAACCCCTAACTAGTGATAAGTGTTTTAAAGATGAAGTCGTTACATTTGAAAAAAGAAATTTAAAAAATGTTTATAGCAATCTTTAAATTTCTTCTCACTAACTGTTTTAAGATTCAAGTTTTATTTGTTTTGTTCTCGTCAGCGTATGAAAATTAAAATGTAATTAATTAAACAGTTCGATAACCTTTTTTGAGTATTTAAAATACGTGTATTATAGATAAGTTTGAAAGTTTAAAATGTATCAAATTTTCTTGTACAAAACTAGATAATTTTTCTGCACCGTTTACACCTTTCTAAAATATGTTATACAAAGATTTTCAAACTTAATATAAAAAGTATTTATTTGAAAATATTCTTGTTTTCATTCCGTCCATGCAACTTTAATATTGAAACTGAAAATATGATTTTTACATATTTAATAACTAAATGTATTGATTTCTCAGAATAAAACTTTAAAAATAACAAAATTCGTCTATTAGTATATAATTTGAACTATCAGAAAAATCAGGGTTGAATTTCAGAAATTTTTTCTGGTCTCTCGTTAGGACAATTTTGCCATTAATATGTGCTCTGGGATTCAATTACTTTATCGATGTTCAGTTAATTATTATCACTTTGCTTAAAACTAGCGTATCTATTATTATTAATAACTTTTTATGTCAAAATTTAAATTCTATGTCTTATTTGTATTGTTTTCATTAGAATATGGTATCAATTTATCATCTATACGTATTGAGAGAATCACCGGTATATAGCAGACGTAGCCAGTCAGGAAAGTTAATGTGGCACCTGCTCTAATCTCTGACACTCAAATACTCGAGGCGCTAAACCAAATAGGAATCGCTGTCATTATTTTTTACCTGCTTGGAACATTTAACTGAGAATTTTAAATAATCATAACAATTTTCTTAAGAATTTCGTCATAATGTGCATACATTTTAATTTGTTTATACATCTATATACATCTATATATATATAGGCCTATATATATTATATATATATAAATGGACTTGTGCCTATACGTCACTCTGCAGCCAAAACTACATATCGCACACGAATGGTGTTTGTGTGTGGTAGTAGCCCGAGTTTCCCATCGTGCACTATAGTGGTTGCGTCTCGATAGCTATAAGGGTGTCAGAGATACGGGGCTTGAAAGTGGTTGACTTCGAAAATGTGTGACGCTTCAATGAGAATGTTCCAGTTTTTTCTAGAAAGTTCCAGAACCTAGAGGTGAAATTTGGTACACAGTTAGGGTACGTCACGAAAACGCACACTAAGAAGGGATTTTTCGAAATTCCCCGCAGGGGGAAAAGGAGAGCATTAAGGCTTAACCTGAAAAAGGCTTCTACTGTTCTATTTCAGATATTTATTATAATCCTGAAACTGGTTACTGTGGTATAAATGAATTACAAAGAAAGATTGGTTTACCTAGAAAAGTTATTAAAGAATTTTTACATCAACAGGATGAATAAACTAAACATAAACTAATTATAAGAAAATTTAGTAGAAGAAGAACTTATGTTTCTCACATTGATGATGAATGGCAAGCAGATTTAGTGGATATGGAGAAATTCAAAAGATATAATGATAATACTAATTATATTTTAACAGCAATAGATATACTGTATTTACTAAATATGCTTGGGCTATTGTAATTAAAAAGAAAGTGGGTGAAGAAATATCCAAAGCATTTGCTACAATATTGAAGGAGAGAAAACCGGAAAAGCTACAAATAGAAAAAGGAACTGAGCGGTATTTACACTAACCACGTTTTTTGTCATCAATATTGATGGTGTGGTTTGATTTAATAACATTTCTCTATTCTTGTAATTTAAATAATTGAATCAAATTTTGTGTGTTGTTTAATTAGAATATGAACTAATAAATTACTAAGTAAAATGTTAATTAAATAATGTTTTTATTAAATAAACTCATCATTTTGTTAAGTGTTTTTTAAACACGTCATCAGTAAATGACCTTGTATTAAACACGTCATCACTTCCTCTACGTTCTTATCAATTTAAATAAATACGTCATCAGTTTTTTTTTAATTATGAAACATGATATTGAACAAAATTTTTCCTTATTAAATGACGCAGTGTAAACGTTGTAAAATAAATAAATCCTTCGAAGAATATAGTAAAGATAATCATTCTAAAGATGGTTATTTTCAATGGTGTAAAGGTTGTACTAGCAAATACTATAAAAATTATTATACTAAACCAAAGGCATAAAACATGAATTAATAGAATGTGTATTTGGTAAAAAAATTTTAAAATCATACTTAGAGAAGCATGTGAAAAATGATATTCATAGAAGGCGATTAAATAAAATTAAAAAGTGAAGTGATTGCAAGGAGGAAAAATCTTTAGATGAATTTCACAAAAATGAAAGAAATACTGATGGATATGCTTATATATGTAAGGCGTGTTTATTGTTGAAAAAATATTGATTGTTTTTTTTCCTCTTAATAAATGGAATAAATATTACAATCACAAACTCTTCGTGAATTACATCAATTTTGTAGAGAAAATAATTTTAGAGGATATTCAAGATTAAGGCTCTGTACACACTAGGCGTTTTTCAACGCGCGTTAAACGCTCGTCGAACGCCGAGCTAACGCGCGTTTAACGCGCGTTAGCTCGGCGTTTTACGAGCGTTTAACGCGCGTTGAAAAACGCCTAGTGTGTACAGGGCCTTAGACCCTGTACACACTAGGCGTTTTTCAACGCGCGTTAAACGCGCGCTTTTAAACGCGCGTTTAAAAGAACCAAGAGTTCTATGTAGCCGTACACACTCAAAAGCCAAGCGCGCGTTAAACGCGCGTTTTGCGAGCGCTTATAGATTTTTGTTAAAACGCGCGTTTTGCGAGCGCTTTACGGGCGCTTTGAGATATATGTGCTGCCATGTTACCGTACATGCGATCGCGCGTTTTGCGGGCGTCAGCCGAGCGCTTTGAGATATATGTGCTGAAATGGAGAACGATCATTTCGATACTGATCTATTTATTGATGAAATCTAAAAGAGACCAACCATCGTCAAAGGATTTTATAGATATTTTAAAAGAATTAAAAAACTTGAATTTATTTTGTCTTAGTTTTGGATACAACGTCGCAAACATTTCATGCGTCAGTCTATCTCGTAATATTGGGTGCACCCAAAATTCTCTTTGCCTCCGCCGTCGTCTTTTATAGCGACGATAGAGGAGCCACACACAAGCAATCACTTCCACATCCATTTCCAAACCGAGCCAGTGCGCACGCTCCGCTAAACGCTCGTAAAACGCCGAGCTAACGCGCGTTAGCTCGGCGTTTGACGAGCGTTTAGCGGAGCGTGCGCACTGGCTCGGTTTGGAAATGGATGTGGAAGTGATTGCTTGTGTGTGGCTCCTCTATCGTCGCTATAAAAGACGACGGCGGAGGCAAAGAGAATTTTGGGTGCACCCAATATTACGAGATAGACTGACGCATGAAATGTTTGCGACGTTGTATCCAAAACTAAGACAAAATAAATTCAAGTTTTTTAATTCTTTTAAAATATCTATAAAATCCTTTGACGATGGTTGGTCTCTTTTAGATTTCATCAATAAATAGATCAGTATCGAAATGATCGTTCTCCATTTCAGCACATATATCTCAAAGCGCTCGGCTGACGCCCGCAAAACGCGCGATCGCATGTACGGTAACATGGCAGCACATATATCTCAAAGCGCCCGTAAAGCGCTCGCAAAACGCGCGTTTTAACAAAAATCTATAAGCGCTCGCAAAACGCGCGTTTAACGCGCGCTTGGCTTTTGAGTGTGTACGGCTACATAGAACTCTTGGTTCTTATAAGCGCTCGCAAAACGCGCGTTTAAAAGCGCTCGCAAAACGCGCGTTGAAAAACGCCTAGTGTGTACAGGGTCTTAAACGCGCGTTAAACGTTCGTTTAAAAGCGCGCGTTTAACGCGCGTTGAAAAACGCCTAGTGTGTACAGGCTCTAAGGAAAGCAGACTTAATTGATTTTATAGAGAGATTATCTCATCATATCTAAGTTATCGAATATCATATTATTTTGATTCTGATCGTTCTCCTTTTCTTGATATTGTGGGATTACGAAAATATTTCTGATTTAATCTGTGGTTGCATTTACAATTATTGTTCCACTAGAACCATTTTGAACGTTACTTTTTATTAATCTAACAGAACACCAATTATTTTAGATGCGACTTTTGTTTTCAACTGCGTTTTAGTAGGGTAGTTAGGGAACGTTATGAAAACGCACACTAAGAAGGGATTTTTTCAAATTTCCCCCCGCGGGGAGAGAGAAAGGATTGAAGCTTTCTCTTAACCTGAAAGAACAGCTTCTACTGTACTGTTTTAGATGCGATTTTTTTTTTTTGTTTTTAATTACGTTTAGTCTTCATCGAGTACTTAGGGTATTAAATTGATAACATTTCAGACATTGTTATAAATATTTTTTATATATTTCGATTTTTTAACCAAATGTTCGAACAGTTTTAAATTAGAATTTCT